TCTTCTCCATGTGGTTGGTATATAAAAGACAATCATTTAGAGAAATGTAAGTTTTTCTCCTATCTCGCGATACGTTTTTGAGATCTTTGTAATGGTATTTTTTGTCTAAGAAATTTTCTCTATTGCTATTTCTCAAATTGTCACCCTTGTACAAATTATACATTTTAACACATCCTAAACAGTTATATTCCACTGTTTATATAAAGGTAAGTGTTATTTATGTTATTAATTTCTTTACTACATTATTCCATCTAAATCCGCAAACTAAGTTCTTACAATTTCCTTTTCCCTAGCCAACAAGAAGGAAATTATTTCTATATTTATGACCAGTTTAACTTTAATGGATTTTGAAGTGAGTTAATGAAACAGGTGTATTTTACCTTGAAATATAACACGTAATCGTAACCGGTAGTATTTTGTAAATAATTTTTGTCGATATGAAATAGACAGGCTATCATAACTGGCAGAAAACTAGTACATTGTAGATTGTAGAAATACAGTATTATTAAATTTCTTATTTATCTTTTCGAATTGAAGGATATACACATTGTTTCAACGAATAAACATAATCAGGAGATGTATACAGGGTGGCGCACCTCATTCGCCTCGGTTGATTATACGAAAACGGAAAGATGTAGAAACAGAATATTTTATGGGTATATGTGGGAAGGCAATGTTCATAATTTATAATTATTTTGAGATGTACAGGGTGTGTCAGAACTAAGATCCATACCAAAGTTATATTTTTTCTTATGGAACACCCGGTATTTTATTTCATTTTTGGATTCTTGGACATAAAATAAGGCATTTACTATAAGGGTTTAATATGTTTAAAAGCTTTGGTTTTTAAGATATTTAAAGATATTTAAATATGCATGCTATAATGAATAAGTTTGTCAACACCTTGTACATTACCTTTCAGAATTAATTCTTGCGCTGACTTTCAAGCCAGAGAAATAAACTTTACTAAAAAATTTGATTGCTTCTCTAAATATATACAGGGGTATCGAAAATTGCTGGTCTATTTTAAATATCTATTTTACATAAAAACTTTGTTATTTAAAATGCAACACTATGTATTTTTTTTAATAAGTTGAAGCAGATTTCAATGCTCTTTCAAACTATATTAGGGTTTCCTATACCTATCTGGCTCAAATTTTGAATAAAAAGTGATTTTTCAATTTTTGTAATCAAGATGGCTGGTGTTACCATGGCAATTTTCTAGTGACACTTAGTAGCTATTTTCAAAATCGACATTAGTTTATGGACTTTATTTAAATTCATAACAGGTTATTTTTATTTAATTTACCTACAATAAGGTTAAAAAGTAAGTATTTATTATTTTATCAAGAAAAACTAATTAGTATCTGCTGGCGGAAGGAATGGATATGTTACTAGTGATTAGTGATTTTATTCTGTGAGGACAATTGCTTGTTGGCCTGAAGGGTTTATGCTCAGATATCCAAATAAAAATTTTCTTGACAAGCGTTCCTTTGAAAAGCTACTTTTCGTATTTCGCAGAGCAGATGGTGGTATATGAAAAACATATTAGGCAAAAACCTGTCATTGGAAGTGAATAAAATGAATTTGCCTTAATTGGTTCTTTTATAGAAAATCCAATATATCTAGGTCATCGTAATATAAATCAAAAAGAACTACTTCTTTATTTTTCTTGATAAAATAATAAATACTTATTTATTAAACTATTGTAGGTAAATTAAATAAAAGTAAACTGTTATAAATTTAAATAAAATACATAAACTAATGTCGGTTTTGAAAATAGCTACTGTCAATGGCAAATTGCCATGACGACACCAGCCATCTTCATCTTGATTGCCATCTTATTGAAAAATCGCTTTATATTCAAAATCTGAGCCAGATAGGTAAAGGAAACCCTAATGTAGTTTGAAAGAGCATTTAAATCTGCTTCACCTTATTTAAAAAAATACATAGTGTTGTATTTGAATTTGAAATAAAGAAGTTTTTACGTAAAATAAATATTTAAAATAGACCAGCAATTTTTGATACCCCTGTACACATTTAAAGAAGCAATATTTTTTTTTGTAAAGTTTATTTCTCTGGCTTCAAAGTCAGCACAAGAATTAATTCTGAAATGCAATGTACAGGGTGTTGACAATATTTTTTATTATAACATGCATATTTAAATATCTTTAAATATCTCAAAAACCAAAGGATTTAAACATATTAAACCCTTATAATAAATGCCTTATTTTATGCCCAAGAATCCAAAAACGAAATAAAATACCGGGTGTTCCATAAGAAAGAATATAACTTTGGTATGGATCTTAGCTCTGACACACCCTGTACATTTGAAAATAATTCTAAATTATGTACATTGCCTTTCTACATACTTTCAAACATAAAAACTTTGTTTCTACATCTTTCCGTTTTCGTATAATTAACCGAGGCGAATGAGGTGCGCCACCCTGTATTTAATTTAATTTATTACAGGTTAATTAATTAGATTCAAACTTTTTTATTACTCTTTCTTGAAAGTTGTTTATGCCATTCCGTGAATTCAATTGAACGTCATTTGGGTTTTGTAAGTCATTTGAAATGATTCTTGATGCTAACAGTGGTAAATACAGAACTAAATATCGTTTTGGAATTTTAAATTTCTGGCTGTTCATCTGGTATTCGCTGAGATGCTGCAAACTATTCCTAGTTAGTCCCTGGATTAGTCTGGACACATTTGTTGCTAGCCAGGTTAACAAACTTTAAGTTTTAATCATCTGGTGGACTAGAATTCAAAATAAAGTGTTTTGCTTAACTAGCTTTATTTTACTTTTTTGTTACTCTCTCCTCCATTGTTACTTAATTGTAATAATGTATGATTTTTGAAATTGGAGTCTAAAGTTGGTGTATGTTATTGTTTAGGTTTTTTGGATTTGCACATAAATATTCATATTGGTGCATTTCTTTTTCTTTATGTTGATACAAACATGAATGATCATAGCTAGATGCCTCTAAATGGACGAAATCTACAGGATTTTTCTTAATTATGTGTCGATTGGAACCAAACTCGGCACGTAGATAGAGGTACCCGAATGGAGTCTTCAGATAGACAGACAGACAGATAGATAGACAGACGGAAGTAAGAAGGAGACTTCAAACATGCCCACCTAGTGCACACATATTTTTTATTTTGATTTGCAAGACTTTCTTTGTGATTGATATTTTTTTGTATCTAGACAAGGTTCTTATTAACTTTTATTCAAATTATGATGAACAGGTTCAAATTATATGAAAATAATGTCGCAAAATACAATGTATCCTGTAAGCTGTCCCCTGAATACAGGCAATCCCATTTATATATTTTTAAAATTATGAATAAAGATGCCCATTCTATTTTAAGGGAAAATTGTATAAATCTTTTTAAAGAACTCATTAAAATAAAGTAAATTATTCATTTTAAATAGTTTCTATAGGTTTCTTTATTAAATGAGAAGTAAAAGTTTACGTTCTTTCATTAAACGATCATTTTTAATGATTGCGTCATATTTAGGGTGTGCTTTTTGTAGATTTTTATACAGAACGAACTTTAGGATGCTTTTGATAGACCTGTATGTCGAAGAAAATAATGATGTTCTAATATAATAATAATTTGGTAATATTTTATTTATCATAATTAAAAACGTTGAAAACGTTTTTAAGTTCGTTAAGTTCAAATCGTTGAAACTTATAATGGAGAAATTGCTTTATTTTAAAAGAACATGTAAAAAAGTTATATTGATGTTTTTCGCTAAAGTAAAATGGGAAACATGGGAAAATTTAATCATCTTAAAAAAGTCTAAAATTTACATGGGTTTTTTGTAGGTGTACCAAAATATAGGCTTTGATGTACTCGTAATTATTTATGTAAAGTAGTAAAGTAAAATTTATGAGTTTTCTGTTTGGAAGTTTTAATGAATTTTAATTAATTTTAATTGTAAATCTTATTACAGTCGAATATAACGGGTACCTCTCAAAAGTGGTTCACCTCTCAAAAGTGGGTACCTCTCAAAAGTGGTATATTTCTACTTTAATCGAGAGAAAATGACACTCTTAATAGAATGGCGTATCATATGTCAACTTTTGACATTTTGGCTTACAAAAAAATCGTATTTTAAATGTCAATTAGTGACATGGCTGTGTTAAAAACACTAATTTTTAATAAAGGAGCTTTGGAAAAATGGATTTGATCATCTAGTGTTTTTCGTGTCTTGTCCTAGTCGGTTAAAAGATGCCTAAATCGTTTCTAATCATATCTCAATTTTTTCGAATAGAACAAACGTGGCTCATTATCATATTTGAAAAAAGGCATTTTTTTACGAATAATTTGTTACCACACACTTACAGTATTTCAAGTCGAATTGTCGCTATGAACCGCATGTTACAATTTCAATTAAACCATATTCGAAAATGTCAAAAGTTGACATATGATATGTCATTCTATTCAGAATGGCATTTTCTACTGAATAGAGTAAAAATCTATCGAGGATGCCATTTAAAAATCAAAAGTTGTAGTCATTTACGGTGAAACAGGAAGTGATCAAAAACAATTGAATCGTCAATAAATCCTAATTTATGTCATATACTAACATATTAAATCTCGTTTTTTTATCTGAAAAAATAAAAAAGTTATAGGGGATGAACCACTTTTTAGACGCACCCGGTATATTTAAAATAGCAATGGAATTGCAACGAAATATTATCTTTAAAAATTTATATGGGTTTTTCTATGTTTAAGTCGGCAATTTAACACACAGTATATTATTCTTCAATTGGCTGAATTGCATGACAACATTTATATACGTACATCTTTTAAAGCTATTTTTCGATTAATAAGTAACCTTTCAGGTTAATTCCTAAATGTCAAATATGAAAGTATTACTTTTACGTAATTACTTTAACTGACCAATTTCCTTTGTAATAAATACTATTCTTCCTAGTAACCTATACGCTATTATGACACAAATTCTTATATTTTTTCCACTTACCAAACTCCTGATCCTTCCTGGCGATTGTGGCGAATTCAGCGTCACCTTGCCCAATCCTGTCGGCGGCTTGGTGGTGATTTTCACCGATGCGGGTCGATGATGCATCGGGGTGGATTTGCCACCGTCACGACTTTCACCCCTCTCCATGAAGGAGCGGCCCCGTCGCAGCAAACGGGGGTTGTTGGCGGACTGCCGACTTTCATCGTTGTTTGGTGACGGCGCTGGTGCTGCCCTCGAGGGTCTAGCAGCAGCAGGAGGAACTACTGAGACGTGTCTTCCGCGTTCCTGGCTGGAAAATGGGGTATCGATTCAAGTCGGTGTAGGTTTCTGGGTTTATGGGGACCGGAAGAGTGGGATATGGACAGGGTTGTGTTTTTAGTTTTAGGTTTGTTTCTAGAGGGTCCAGCAAGAGTGCGTCGACCATCTGTAGCTCCTAGAATAAAAAACTTGGAAATTTTGTTTAAGTGTAAACCTAAAGTATGTACAATACGAGGATGTATTTCAGGAAAATATTTTAACTTCTATAGGGTGGCTCAAAAACGTTTGAGTGGATCGAGCGGAGATTTTTTTAAACGGAACACCCTGTATATTATTGCATTTTTAGGTTCCTTTCAGATCACTTTACATAATCCTAAGATATGAGTAAATACAGGGTGATTCTTAATTTATAGGCATAAACTTGGGAAATTATTGCTGATGTCAAATAATGACTAATAATGAAAAAAAAAAGTTAGTAAACTATTTTTATTTACGGGGATAACAAACTATTTAAAATAAAAACAAAAAACGTAAATTTCATTAAATTGAATGTGCACTAAATATTTTTATTTACGGAGATAACAGACTATTTGAAATAAAAACAAAAAACGTAAATTCCATTAAATTGAATTTGTGCATTTACTGATAAAGTTGATAAATTTTTGTGAAAAAAAACTTATTTATTTCAATTACAATTATAAATATTTCAATTATAAATATCACAAATTATTTCCGAATCTAAAAATATTTTACTAACATTTTTTTCCATTATTAGTCATTATTTGTCATCAGCATATAATTTCCCAAGTTTATGCGTATAGGTTAAGAATCACCCTGTATGTTTCGATAGTTCCAGATAAATAAATAAAAAGAATATATTTTTTTCAGCCCTTCTTAAAAAATATTAAAAATATAAGAACTGTCCTGAAATCAAAACTATATTAGGTATTTACTTTAGATGGTCTAAATTTACTTTGCTATAAACATTGCAATCTTAAATCATACAGGATGTTCATTTTTTATTTATTTATTAATGTCTCTGAAACTATCGAAATATATTTACTCATATCTTAGGAATATGTAAAGTGGTCTGAATAGAAGCCAAAAATGCAGTAATATACAGGGTGTTCCATTTAAAAAAAAATTCCCGATCCACTCACACTTTTTTGAGCCGTCCTATAGAAGTTTTAAATATTTCCTGAAATACATCCTAAAACATTCTTCAGGTTTGCACTTAAACAAAATTCCCAAGTTTTTTATTCTAGGAGCTACAGATGCCCAACGTGCTATTGCCGGACCATGTATATTCTTATACCATGTGTTCCAACTTAAATGGTGTTGTGAAATTATAAATGAACCATTTATTTTTGTTTTGGGGTTTTTGTACAATATTATTATATTGGCAGAGATGCATCGTTTGGTGCAAAAACAACCTAAATACGAGTACCGCGTATAATTCGTTACTATGTTTGACCTGTTTAGTGCAGAAATAACCCAGGTGACATCACTTGAGTTGTTTTTGTAGGAAATCTAGTCTGTTCCATAAGGAAATCAATGAGAATGTTACCGAGTTACGCTTGTTTTGTGACAATTGCCCTGGGCAAAATAAAAATCATTGCATGCTTAAAATGTGCATGGCCCTTAAAGCGACAAAGCGTTTCGAGAAAATTTCACAATTTTATCCAATTCGGGTTTCAAGTTAAGAAGGTTTGACAGGTTGTATAATGTGCATCAGTACATTGAATTAATAGTTCTGGTTAGTGCTAAAAACATATTCACAGTTAAAGAAGTGGCCACTAATGATATTTTAAATTTTAAAAAATGGTGGCCAATATACTACAAGTTATGTTACGTATCGGACGGCAAAAAGACCGGAACGAAAAAAATCAGTTTCTGGTATCTAAGTATCACCACATAGTTCATGAGAAAAATAATGTTATCAGAGCCTGTGAATATATAAACGGTTTTACTTGGCATGAATTTAGTGATTTTCGATAACCAAAAACATCAAAAGCAATGATAAAATTTCCTACTGAACGAGTCCACAAAGGTCCACTGCCAATACCCGCGGTCAAATTGGATGATATTGAAACTTTGTTACGCTGGGTGCCTTATGAATATCAGGATTACTATTAAGCATATTTTGAATACACATGCTCGTAAACCGGAAAAGGTTAAAAATCGGTAATAGAAATTAGTAGGATAAGCACCAATTAAGTTTTATAAACTGCGATTAATACAAAAAATGTTTTTTTATGTCTTACGTACAGTTTTTTAACATCAAATTTTAAGACCCAAAAAATATTTTTTTCTTTTTTTTTTTGTTTAATACCAAATAAATATGTCCAAATAACATCTCCAAATCAGTTCAGGAAAATATCACAAGTTGATAAAATTAAACGTTTTTTTCATTTCCTGAAAAATTAGCAAAATGTCGCTTAGGGCGTTTCAAAAATAAACGATTCAAATATTTCGGCAAAACTTGTATTGTAATTCTTATGCCAGTTCTATTTATACTTACATTGATACATTATCTACACTGTCATGTCCTTGTTTGCTTTTGGAAAGAGTGACGTAAGGAGTGGTTCCTACCTCACCTTTCAGTCTTAAACTGTTGTGCCTGCGAAATGGTACAGGAGACGATGGTACTGGTATTCTAGATTCTGGTGTTTTCGAATGATTGGTCGAAAACATTTTACCACTCATGATTTGTTTTTTTGACGTTTAGTAGTCTGAAAAAAAAATACAGTGTCATGTTTTGTTTTACAATTTGCCAAATTATTGTGTCAGTAATAGTATATTGTTTTATTAGGAGTAAAAATTATACTTTTTGTGGCGAGGCTGTACGTTTGACGTTACATGCGAGAAAAGCGTTACAGGCGTTTGACGTTACATTTTTAATCATCAGCAGATGACTAAAAACTAGTTTTTAAGTAAAAGTGTTTCGGTGTATTGTGGTGATTTAGTTTTTTATTTTGCTGTGTAAAGCCACCAAAAGCTCCAATCCCCAACTGTAATTTGAAACGTTCCAAATAATATAATAGTTATTAATGATACAAGTTCGATACGAACGTAATTTTTTTCATCGAAACACAAGTTTCATTGAAAAGTTCGTATCGAACGTGTATCATTCAAAATTTAATCTACGACGCGACACGAGGGACGATCCACAGAGATTTGATTTAATTTAAAATATCAGAGTTATCCTCATAAAAATTAAAATTCAAAATTATCAGGTGCCCATATTAGTCGACGCCGTGGTAACCGTGCTTGTTGATTGTTTCCATTTTGACTTTGACAACTCAATTATTGATGTTCAATTTTGTGTTAAATGTTCAGTTTTAGCAAAAAGCAAAAAATAATATTAATATGGGTGATTCTGATTCTGAAAGTGTCCCTTCGGATATTGAACGCATTGCGCAAAACGTTGTCGATTCCCTACATCCCGAAAAATCAAGACAAACGTACGAGTAAGCCTATGTAAAACTTGAAGATTGGTGCAAAGGGAAAGGAATCAAGAATAGTAGTAACGAAAAGGATCTCCTGGCATATTTTGAACATCTTTCAAAACATAGGAAGGCTTCATCACTTTGGGTATATTATTCCATGCTACGTTCAGTTATATCAGTGAAGAAAAATACAGATATTAGTAAGTACGTCCATTTAATTGCATTTCTAAAAAGAAAATCGGAAGGATTTCGGTCAAGAAAATCGAGAATTTTAAGAAAAGAAGACATAACTCGTTTTTTGTTGGAAGCCGATGATAAAACTTATTTCCTGACAAAAGTTTCATTGATAGTGGGACTTGCGGGAGCCTGCCGGCGTATCGAGTTGACAAATCTGCAGCTGCAAAATGTTAAAGATGAAGGACAATGCATTCATGTCATTATTCCATTTACGAAAACAAAGATATCACGAGATTTTTTATAACGAAAGGGAATGTTGAAGGAATAAATATGGTGGAAATGGTTCGAAGATATATAGCGATGCGGCCAAGCAACACAGAGCATACTCGATTTTTTTGTGGGGTACAGAAATGGAAAATGTATTAAGCAACCCGTTGGCATTAATACTTTAGGGAAAATGCCGTATAAAATAGCATTGTTCCTAAGTCTTCCAAATCCACAACAATACACTGGACATTGTTTCCATAGATCGTCTGCGTCATTGCTTGCAGATTCAGGAGTGGATTTATTAACTGTTAAAAGACATGGTGGTTGGCGCTCTAACACAGTGGCAGAGAGCTATATAGAAAAATCCAAATAAAATAAGAAAAAAGTGTCATGTAATGTTTTGGGTAACATTTCTGGCAATGATGGATCTTCAACAAGTTCAAGCACTCAGGAAATAAATTTACTTTCTAAAAATACAACTCACATGTCATTGTCTGGAATTAATTTAACCAATTGTACTGATATTATAATTAATGATTACAATAAATAAACGTATTTAGGTACCTTTTTTTGCATGTTTCTTATTTTAAAATTTGCGTGTTATTATGAATTCATAATAACACTCATAGATAAATGCAACAATTTTCAAAAGTTTTGGGTCGCGACCGTTGCGAGAATAGGGCCAAATAGTGTTTACATTGTCCTTATGGGCACTTTCCAATCTAAACTTGTTTCATTTATCTATGATAGCACTAGTGCTATTATGAACGCCATAATGACATCCAAATGACAATGTTAAATGTGTCATCATTGTGTCATAATGACATTGTCGTAGAAAAGTAGGTAATACATTGTAAGTAATTATATATCGAGAAACTATGGTTACGCTCGTTGAATTTGACACTTTATGTCAGTTTAATAATATATTTTCGTACTTTTATACTAGTTTTATGCTTAGGCGTAAAAGTGCTTTACTTTTATGCCTAGGAAAGTGCCTAGGCTTTAAAATGACTTTTCTATATTGTCAATCACGTCGCAAAAATTAATACTGTTGTGACGTTCGAAAAAAAAATATATATTTATAGTGTCATTTTTTGTTCCATAACTTGCCAAATTATTGTGTCAGAATATATTAAATATCACATATTCAGTAAACCTTGACCATAATGTAAAATATTTTTTTACTCGTTAAAATAGCGGCTTTGCAGCATTTATTGTCAATTTAAGTGTTAGGTATCTTAAAATTAATTTCAATTGTTTTAAAATGTAAAATCTAAATATTACCTTGAATTTATGTTTAATATAATATTGTTACAAAATCAATCTAAATATAACTGTTCTAATTATAATTTTAACTGAGCGAAACACAATTGTTGTTTATGATTGTAACAAAATTATACTACCTAGCCCCATATAATAATATAATATACTTTAGCAATACATTTAAAACTTCCCAATACGGACATTTTTGTATGGGAGGCTTAAAACACGAAAATCTTTAAACTAAATCGCACGAGACTTCAAATCGTTCGAAGTGATAATCTGTGGTAATTTCAATTGAACTCTGACACTTGGCTGACATTGACGTGTACGGTTCCTTTTTTCTAAATATTTTCATTATTTTGTGTGTTTTTGTGACAAATTTCGAACTTGATTTTGTTCTTCTTTTTATTTAAAATGCAACCTGAAGTACTAGATTATATAGTTATAAATAATCTTTTCACCGATCAAGAATTTACGAATAGGCTGGAAGATATTCAAAATGTGTAAAACGTTTAAAAACGTATTCGAAACATTGACTCGTTCACAAATTCGTGAAAATAAATTAGTCAGATGTTTGTAAAAGGTCTCTAATTATTTTGAGTTTCCTCGTATCAGTAATTTTCAGGTTTGTAATATGTACTAAATGATAATAAATAGATTAAAACTTATATTTCACGAAACAGCGCGGGCATTACAGATTGTTGTTAGTAGAAGACCCAAATAAGGTAATGTTGGTAATGGGACCAAACATCAAATAACACTTGAAAATATATAATTATGTACAATAATTGTAAGTAGTTTTTATGAATCTGTTTGATATCTATTGCGGTTCGTTTTATATTTCTTGAAATATAAATATTGTTTATTCTTTTATTATTATACACAAAGAATAATAAAAAAATACAGTTACTCACTAAAAGCACTTTAGGTTTGTAATAGATGTAAGGAGAATATCAAACACCAAACCAAACCAAAAATTATGTTTTATTTTACTGGTATTCACGACATTTTTGCAGAATCACATTTCATAGCACAGCAGGACATTTTATAGTACACTCTATATTAATAATTGTTTTTATCCTATACTTTTTAGTTGAATTAAATCACTTACTAGGTATAAAATTTAGAAACTGATTAACCTATAGTTGTGGTTGTGATATATTCTGATGTGTTTTGGCAATTTAAAATACTATTATGAATTTAAACAAACATTTCTGGCTTTCCTGACAGGAGTGTGGACACATGATTTTTGAAGATTCTGACTTTGACAAGAGAAAATTATTTCTGTTTTTGTTTGCCGTTGTTCTTAGCGACCGCTATAGCAGCGCCAGATCGCGTATAACGGTCGCGACCCAAAATAATTTCGCGACCTAAAATTTTTACGGGCTTTCCAATCTAAACTTGTTGCATTTATCTATGCATGTCAAAATGCGATGAAATAAACAAACTCGTTACTAAGATATGAATTTATAAGCCAACTTTTTCAAACATTATAATTTCAAATATGGAAAATTTGCAGTTGCAAAAATTGCTCGGCTAACGCCTCGTCCGCAAACAGTAATGATTCGTCCTAAAAAACATCATTTTAGGTACTAGTTACATAAATAGCTATTTTACTCGTTAAAATAGCGGCTTTGCAGCATTTATTGTCAATTTAAGATTGACAGTTATTAAATTAAATAATTTTTATGTTAGGTATCTTAAAATTAATTTCAATTGTTTTAATATTGTAAAATCTAAATATTACCTTGAATTTGTGTTTAATATAAAATTGTTACTTAAATCAATCTAAATATAACTGTATCTAAGCATAATTTTAACTGAGCGGAAACACATTGTTGTTTATGATTGTAACAAAATTATACTCTCTAGCCCCCCCCCCCCATATAATAATATAATATATCCGTATACAATTCATTCCTCATTACTAATAACATATTAATTTATAATTACTAAGACTTTACACTTATTACTGTGCTAGAATTTAATTAAAAGTAATAAAAATAATTGTATAAGAAAAAACTTACCATTTTACAATTATAATTAGCACAAAACTGTAATTTCAAATTTCTGTATTACACGAAAACAGCTAAAAACAAAAAAAGCCTGTAACATGCCACGCTACCTTAATTATCTTTATTGGTATTACAACACATTTTTAATCTTATCAATATCCACCTGTCAAGTAATAGGATATTGTGGAGTCACATGCTCAACACGCTTCAAAAGCTGATTTTAATTTACCGTTCGATTAGAATATGCCTGCTAAAAAATACAAGTGCTTTTTGAAAAGTAGGATATTGTATCAATTTGTTAATAAACACTGAATTTAAGCCGAAAAAGTTCTATTTATTTGGTATGAATTTGGGTTAACAAAAGGTCAGGTTATATTAATTTCGGTTTGAACCAATGTGAATTATCATAAAAATGTGATTAAATAAGAAAAAAAAATACTGGCATTTGAATCCATGTTATATTTTTAGGTCAAAATATTTTTGGAGAAAAATACAATAAAATTATGCTAGAAATTAAAATTGGAAAGTTTGGTAATTGATTCTACTACATTTTTACTGCTATGCTATGGGGTCAGTTTAAATAAAAAAAATCAAATTTGATTTAATTAAAACTTATATCATTATTAACCCAGTACAGACATCTGATATAAGTGAAAATTTAAATTGATAGTAATTTTCAGAAACTATTTGAGACAGAGTTTACCAAAAATGCTTTTTATAACTACTACTGGATAAATGAATTTAAATGAATTTCTAGTATAGTATGACTTTTTTTGAAACTTTAGTTTCGGAGATATAAATTTAATCGGACCTTTTAAAAAAATTATTTTTTTTCAGGAACTATTTGAGACAGAGTTTACCAAAAATGCTTTTTATAATTATAACTTCTACTGGGTAAATGAATTTCTATTATAGTATGACGCACAGATAACACATATTATATGTTATCTGTGGTATGTCTTTTTACCAGTTACCATTTGCTAATACAAAGTATGTGTCTGAAATTGTGTCACATTTTTCAATACGATTTTCAAAAACTTACAAAATAAATTATTAAATGTTTGTATACTGGATGTAAATTATATGTGAGCAAAAACTTGGAAAGTGATTCGTTTTTTTTTAAATAGGGGTGTTGTAATGTGTTATCCTGGTTTTGGTTCACAAGCTACAAGGTGAAGCAAATTTATAACCAACAAAATTATCGGGATTTTTCAAATACGGAAGCTCAAATATTACACATTAAAGTGTGATTAAAGATATCATGAGACAAATTCTCATTTTTGTATTTTAGATTTAGCTATTAGATTTCAAGTACAAAAAATAGTTATTAATGTACAGAGTACAGGGTGTCTCACTAAGAATAGCTCTTGGCTGTATCTCAGAAAGTATTAGCTGCAGGGCCTGCGGAAAAAAATATTTATGACAAAGAGGCCTTGAAATGTTGCTGGAAATTATTTTCAAGTTTGTAGAACGGCCGCTAGAGGGCGCAACTGAAATGGAAAATAAGAAAATTGATTTTTTACGAAATTTTGCCTAAATAAGGGGTACTATAAATAATAATTTCGCAATTTTCGGTAAATTTTGGATCTTTCTTGTTGGAACCATTTTTCTCTATCTGTTAAAATAAAGTGTTGGGGGTAGGTTATATTTGTTTTTATTTAAATATTAATAACTCCGGACTGGACTATCGGAATCCAACAAACTGGAGCTCGTTTAAAAGAGCATTCCTTACTCTATAATATATCATATAAATAATAATAGAAACTTTTGAACGTAGACGATAGGGGGCGCTGTCTTACAATTTAAGAAATATTGCGCGTTTAAAAAAAAATACGATAGTATGCGTAATTTTAGCTGGCACTAAAGAGTAATAAAAGCTCAAAAAGTCAACCGCATCCTGATAGCTTTTTTCAAACCAAAGATATTAGCAAAATTAAAATAAATACAAAACAATAACCCCTTAACCTATTTTTCTAACATGTCCGGAGTGCGATAGGCAGATAACATCACGTATCGGGCTTTTCAGTCACAGAAAAGCTCATGAAAGAAAACGTCTTGCGTGACCATCTTCTTTATGTGTGTCGAAAACTCGTCAGCGAGTAACGGCTGTATATATGTATTTTCTAACACGGTATCCCTAACCTAGCCCTCTTGATTATGACCATTCTAATAAAAAATAAGACGGAAAAGATTCTACGAAAAACGAAAATAATTTCCAGCAATTTTTCATGGCCTATCTAGTTATAAATATTTTTTTTTTCCGCAGGCTCTACCACTAATACTTTCCGAGATACAACCGAGAGCTTATTCTTAGTGGGCCACCCTGTACAAGGTGTCCCATTTTCGTGTGTTTTTTGGGGTTTCTCGTTTATGAGTAGAGATACAAATATATTAATATAAAGTCAAACGAACAGCTGTTTTTGACAAAGGTCTGATGATGGCTGGAATAGCCGCAACCGGTCACTAATAAATACTTTTTTTGACAATGGTTGGGATTTGATTTTAATAAATAAATAAATAAGTAAATGCGTTTATTGTCAAAAATTTTTACAATTTGTAGACAAAGGTAAAGTAAACAGACAGACAAACAAAATAGAATACAAAACAAGTATACAAATTACATTGTCAGTCTTATTGTTTAAAATGAACATTTATAAATGTTTACAATGTCAAAAAATAAAAAATAAAAATAAGATTCACAAATATTTAATAAGATTATAGTAAATATAGTAATAGCAAATATTAGACCAGTGTCTACAAGATCAAATTCGATTATCAAAATGTAAGTCATTTACGGCGTAGAAAGCCTTGTCTATAAGTAAATAAGATTTCAATGCTTTGCGAAATGAAGAAAATGATTGGATTTGATTTCAAATGACAGGTGATTGTGCATTTTTTTCGAGTGGTATAATATTGAACTTTTAACTAACTCTGAGCGTGGGGTAGGTAGATAAAAATCTTGCTCCCCGTTCCTGAGTGGATAAGTGTGAGATGGCCTTTCTTGAGAAGCTGATACATGCTTACGTATTAGGCAAACGGATTCAAATATAAATACGGAAGGAAGAGTTAATATTTTTTATTTTTTTTTAAAGTCCTGGCATTGAGTTCTGCTGTTTAGTCCCAGTGAATATCGAATAGCTCTCTTCTGGAGCTTAAAAATGCGGTCAAATTGAGTCGCACAACACGTACCCCAGAATGGAGGGGCATATCTGAGGTGCGACTCAAAAAGTACATAATAATCAAAGTCAAGCTCCTTAGAAACAGATCTTAATGCAAAACAGGCAGAGCTTAATTTTTTCGACAAAGTGTCGATATGCATGTCCCATTTTAGAGAATTGTCTACAACAATCCCTAATAATTTTACAGATTTTACGACGTCAATGGTGGTGTTGTTAAGTACAAAAGTTTGCAGTGAGTTTTTATATGACAAAGCTTTAGTTTTAGAAATCTTGAGACTCAGGAGGTTCGAATCGTACCAAGATTTAATGGTGATTAAGTCATTTAATATAATCCTATGATGTGCCGTGACGTCCTTGTTGCTCCAAGTGAAGCTAGTGTCGTCCGCAAAAAGACATATTTTACCACTGATGTTTATGTTAGCAATGTCGTTAATAAAAAGAAAAAACAAAATAGGGCCTAGTACTGAGCCTTGATGCACTCCACATTCTATTGGCTTGCTAGAAGACTTGCTGGTATCCACCCTCACAAGTTAACTTCTGTTGCTCAGATACGACTTAAACCATTCGAGAGATGTTCCCTGAACCCATAGTGCTGCAGTTTATTAATTAGGATCTTACTTTATTATTTCTGGATTTTCCATCGCCAGGGACTAATATCATATTTATTTTTCCTTTGCGATATTTTACTCTTTTTATATTTAATTAATAACAAATCTTCGTAATATAGCAACCAACTAACTCTTATTGCTACATATTTTGTAACACAACAACTATTAGATCACCAATTGGTATACGCAACGATATTTAAAACCCGATTTTCAAAAAATGAATATTATCATAACAAATTTATGCAAATGAAAGGAAAATCAGTCTACGTACCTGTTAAACTAATTATTGCGAAAACCCTGTTAGGTAATAAGCTTTTTTCAACAAGTAAGAACAACACGAACGTACTGAGAACCGCGCGCACCGACGTTCCCGGACTGTATTGCGATTTTTGTTTATTTGCGTTTTGACCGGAACCAGCCTAGAAGCGATTTCTTGCAACTCATCGCGGTTTGCTTTACTTTTCTGGTTGCATTTCTAGAAATAATAATTATTTTGGTTCCCCTCTAGTTAATTCGACAAAAGGTAAAGGGGGGCACTGACAAAGTGCGACGGGGATTCAAATTCTCGCTCTCCGGCACCGATGTGAAGTAATATGGGAGCAGCACCATATATTTTGCGCTTTTTTCCTTATTTAAAAAAATGCCTGCCGAAAAATTCAACGTGGCTATAATGGAAGATGCCCATCCGTTCTGTAGCTACGGGGCATCCGTAAGGGGGGAAACGAAATTCTCGGTTAGCGAGCAATTCATGGGCGTGCTATAAATATTTTAAATGATATTACCTATACATAAATTTAAAAAATACCTTATCAGTTTTATTGTTTTCAACGTTTTTCCATGTAAATACGACATAATCTTTATAAAAATTAAAAAAATTAAGAAGAAAAATAAAGACATAAAATATGATAAACAAAATAACAATTATTTATTGACTTGCTTCATTACAAATAGCAAACATAAACATAAAATATATAACATAAAACACGCAAAAAAAACAAATTAATAAATATTATCTAAAAACAAAAATACTTAATAATAATGAAAAAATCAATCCGTATAACAGTGATTACAGAATATTTGTGTGTGCTCAAAACATACGAAATTATGACGCTGTACAAAGATTAACGAGTTCTGTTTTCCGCCTATCACAATTCTGTAGTGCCGATCGTCTGGTAATATTGTATTCAGTGCTTCAGAATCTGAAATTTATTTTTCAGTATCAGAATTTATTTTGGGCTCTTGCCTTTCTATAGTATCCACTTCTCTTTCTTCCTTTTCATCGTTATGTTTAGTAGTTAATTCGTCATCTTCGTTCAAATAGCCTTGCATGAACTGTTGCAATCTCTCTTGCAGAATACATCTAAACAATAATACTTATTTAATAAAAAAAAGTCGATTATTCACTTTTTTTATCACAATTTGCTGATTTTCAATTAGAACAAATCAGTAAAATAACTTACCTTGTTCGACATTATAAAATGATTGATGTAAAAATAGTATCACAAACGGTCGCGCACAGACTGACACTCCGCATATGAGTATAAAAAGATACTAACTAACCTAAACGATGTGCAAACATACCACTTCTCATAAAATATGTAGAGACGGGGACAGGAAGATACTAAACGGCGCAGTATTTGATATGATATTTCCAGATTTTCGAAGTATCGGAAAAATATGACTGCGGACTGTAAGTCCGCGCGCGCCCTCCGGAGGGTTAAGCTTCAACGAAAATTACGGGCTATTTCTGCTCTAAACATTATACTGTTCCAGAATAATTATACAGTATTATTTGTAACACTATATAAAATAAAATCCAAAATTTTTCGTACATTTTGTTATCCGAAAAAGAAAATCTAGGAACTAGTGGGGTTGCAGTCGGAAGGGTTTGGACTAAAATTAATACACTTTGTTAATGGTCAAGCTTTGGTCGTTTTTTCAAGTTCGGATAGGTTCATGTGCCTTGTCAATAAAAATGACCATTTTTAAATTTTAATTGTTTGTTAGATATTTTGAAATAAAAAAAAAACATATAGAGTGTTTCAAAAACATGTGCCGTCTCTTGTGGGTTTTCACTTAATTTTTTTCACTTAATTTTTTTTATATCGATTATATCGATATTTATGTTCGATTCTGCTATGTTTCGTAACTATACGGGGTTAGTCTTTATTTCTTTTCGATTTATTATAATTTTCTTCCAAGTGTTTTTAGGAATTCGAATGAAATTTTGAGTGTGAAGCTACTATAAGTGCTACATATTTTAATCTAAAAATATGCCAACAGATTTACCAGAACGTGCATATGAGTTATCACTGGAATATTTATCTAAAAAATATGCACTACTGACTTTTCCTACTATCTGTTTCCTCCTGGATCCAGGGTAATACTCATACTACATTTGGGTATTCCCAGTACTGGCTCTGGACCAAGATACAATATCGATGATCCTTGCTTTGCTAGTTTGCCGGCTTTTTCGTTGCCTGACGCGGCACTCAGAATAATCTAATCGTTCCTTTCTGCCAGTTCCAGATAATATCGACGGTATCTTTGGGCTTACAAGCGCTTTAGGTACCGTCTGGATATATTTGTTATGCACGTACTAATGTAAACTCGACTGTGTTTTATGGTATCACTCCTAAAGGTGTTATTTCTTTGTGTATTGTTGGTAGCCTACCTATTATCAAGCTTCATTTCTGATTAAAATGTTTCTTCTTTTCCAACAACTTTAACAAAATTTTTGCAGCTTATATATACTTTAAAATTTATCTTTCTAGTCAATCTAATAATTATTATTTTAGTTTATTTTTTAATTTATAAAAAAGTGAGTACTTAACTTACATAAAAAATATGAATAAATATAAATTCCGCTCCTTCACTTTTATGTCAAGAATAATAATTGAAATTAAAACAGTAATATAATATTGTTAGATAGAGACTTAGGACAATCCATTACATGTAATATGTATATTTGTACTTACTAATAGTTCATTATTTATAATGTAATTCGTAATGTAGGCATTTTTACCGATTCCAGTGAGGTAAAACAGGAGTTTATGTTTACCCTATTTTCTTTTTCTCGTAAATGCTGAACAAAGAACCTAAAGTGATACAAAATGAAATAAGAGATTGACAAAGAGTAGGCATAAATACTGCAAATATTCTTATGCATATTATTTCGAAAAATTCGCCAATTATTATGCATAATTTTACTTTTTATGAATGCCATATTATTATATAGCCTCAGCAACAATTTTAAATCAATATATCTTGAATTGGATATGTAAATAATTTTTATAATTCTTGATATAGTAGCACAAAAAATAAAAAATACAATTTAGTTTCTGTTATGTCTATATTTTTTTAATGAAATTAATCAAAGTTCTGATACAAAATCTATGATCAAACTATTTTTTTCTTTCCTAAAATATGCAGTAATGAAAGTTATTCTGCCCTCAATACTTAGACGTCTTTAAAATTTCTTTATGACTTGAACAGTTTTATTATACACATCTTAGTATATATAGAATTCTATTTTTGTAGCTCGACTATATTTATAACAATAAAAATATTGTTAATGATTAATTATGAATTTTAATTAGATTTGTGACAGGACTGGCCAATTTTACCGGAAGTAGTAAGACGACGTATGAATTTATAAATAAATAATGCACAACGTCGTAAGGTGTAAAGAAAGGAAGTGTGACTATTTTTATTTTATTCTATTAGTTAATAATATTTTTCAGGGAAAATAAATATTATAAGTAAATAAACTTACTAAAATAGAAAAAAAAATATTTAAAAAATTAATTAATATTAATACGATTTTATCACATATTTTCATAATCATTTTTATTTAATGCTCATACATTTACATGGAATACATTGTGGGGATTGCTCAAACTTAATACATATTTAATGAGAATGAAAACGAGGGGTAAATTATTATTTTCGTAAAACTATGCTTCTGAAATAGAAGGAGAGCAAAAGCTATAAATCTGGTTATTGGTAGGTGTCATTAGCGGTTATAACTTAAAGTAGAACTAATTAAGTATGTAATTAATTGTTACATCACATAAGTGAGATGAAAAACTGGACAAGCATATTTAATAGCCTACTTATAATGTTGTATGTAGCAAAGATACTTTTATGTGTTGAGATACTTTTGATACTATTGAGACATCAAATTCTTGTTGGTGTAAATGTTGCAGATATAGTTTAGGTATCTAAAATACATATATAGAGAGGCAGATATAACTAACTGAAATAAGACCATCTTGGTTGCATTCTCAAGTGTTATATATTCAACTTAAGCGGATACAAAAATGTATATCAAACAACGAAGGTCCAACTTTAAAGGCGAGATGACACGGTCCAAACGTATATGGCAGCATCCAAGTGTACTTGGTCCAAGTACATTTGGACTGTGTCCACCGGGCTTTAATATATTCTCTATTGGATTTCTCTAATAAAAATATCCTTAGATTCCATATATAAAGTGTACTCGTAGTTGTTTATAGATAGTCAAGTTCACCAGAATAATTATATTCTCTAATCTTTTTATCTATATATTATTTAGAAAAGAAATATTATTAAAACTTACATTCCGCAATCTGTTCTCTTAGTACTTTATACGTTAAAATAATATATTATTAAAACATATTTTTATTTGCTAGTAATATTTTTTCTTCTACTTTTATATTTATTTTCTCAATTAGTTTTACATATTTGATGTTTTGTTTACCTGAATGTGTTGAATATTGAAACAAACACATAAATTAATTTAAATTTTAATTTCTCGGAGACTTTATGAGCTTTCAATCTAATTTGTTGTTTCCTGTTTCTGTAGGGAAATATATTTTGATTTTTCTGCAACATTGTTCTTAGGTACGCTGTTAAATTCTTAAGATAACATAAATATGATGAAGAAAATATCGTTGAATCAATCAACGATAACATACATACAATGAATTTATATTTTTAAATTTTAATATGCATTATTGGCTTGTTGGCTTGGTAGATGAATTAAAATAAATATTGTATTTCAATTTTTGGCAATAAATTAAAAAAAACTGAGAAACGAATCGAAATAATGTGGGACCTTCGAAAACATTTTTTTTATTTTAATAAATCGTTCTTAGCAATATCGATTTATATTCTTCTTCTAGTAGTATTCTTTTTTAATTTTTATTTTATATTTTTTTAATAATTTTCTTTTTTTTGTAAATATTTTAATTGTATTAATAATTGTCTAATATAAACACAATTCAGATTAAAGTATATTTCAGCGACATTGTCTGGCTCTATTTTATTTATAATTGTTTTGTAATTTTTTAGTATTTAAATATGTATAACTGATGCAAATACATATATAAAAATGAAAAAAAAAATGATGAAAATGTTGTAAAATTTAGAATATTTTAAAGGGATATTAAAGAAACTTATAACCCTTTACTAATGTAATTGACCATACTCAAAAAATGTCCATTTTATTATTTTCATGCACCATATGTATATTTATGATTTATTAACCACAAGCAAATTTTCGACTACCTAATCGATATACCTACTGCTTTCATGTTTATGGAATTTAACAGTTAAGTTTCTATAATAAAAGGAAATATTTCCACAAATGCAATAGAAATAAAATTGTTTTATCATTTTATTTTTGTTTTAACAAGTTATCAAAAAATATATGACATGTAAGTAACCCAGTTCTTTTATAACGACTTTCTTTGTTTACGACTTTTATAGCTTTTTAGATCGTTATTAAAAGTTTCGTTTTATATAAAACTTTTACATGCAAAACTATAACATAAAACCTTATCTCTTCAGATTACTTCTTCATGTTTTGAAGTCTTCCTGAGTATTGTTTGAGGAGGTACTAGGTACAACAATTTAAATGTGATAATATCATCAAAATTATGTTGTTTAAATTAAATTAGTAATTTTTAAATCAGCGTGTTGTTGTAAATATATCAATACATATTCTTGTAGGAAACTGAACGATCTTCATAAAAGGTTTGATATGATTTTTCATTTAATCGATTCGTATTCGTCAATATATATTCGTCAATAGAGCAGTCATGGGTTCGTTTGTATTTTACTGGAGGAAACCAAATTACCCTAAAACTAAAAATATTGGGCGCCAAGCAAAATACAAGGCGTAGTTAAAAATAATAATTGACTATATTTAATCAAGATGATTCTTAATTATTGTAATTAGCGATAATTAATAATTATTGTGTAATTTCAATGTTTTACCAAAGAACAGGTACTTTAAGAACTTTAGGAGAAAATAGGATATTTTATGTTTGAAATCCGCTCAATTTCCTACAAGAATGAATTCTATTCATCAATTCCCACGAGAATGAAGATGTACTGATTTTTACAATTCGCTGATTTATTAAAACCCAATAAAATTTAAAAAAAAATCCACGTGTTCTTTAAATGGGAAATAGAAAATAACGAATGATACCTCACTAAAAACTTTGCCGGATCTTTTTTTCATCATCGTGAACGATATTTTGAAGGTAATTAAAAGAAAAAAAAATTGTGCAAAAACAAAAAAGAATTAACTTTTTGCACTGCGACGTAATATGACAATCTTCTTAAAAAAACATATTTTGGCTGAAGTTTTTTAGCCGACCATACCAATAGGTATGGTAGGTTATAAGATCGGCAAAAAAAAGTTTTTTTTAATTTCACTCAAAATGAGTAATTTGGGTCATAAATGACCTAAATACAAAATATTTTCATGGTGTCTGTCTGTCTGTCCGTCTGTAACACGATAACTCAAAAACCGCTAAACCGATTTTAACCAAATTTGGCACAAAAATACTGTAGAACCCGAGAATCTGACCATTAGTTTTTGGTGGGAGTGGGGGATTGGTAAGGGGGTATAGGAGGGGCTTAAAAATTTTCAAAACTCGTAACTCCAAAATTACAGTAGCTAGCGAAACGCGGTTTTCAATTTAAGATTAGGAATAATATTTGCAAGAAAATTTGTAATAACATCAAAATCAGTCAAAGTTGCAGTTTTTGAGATAAAAAAAAATTGGAATTACTTTGAAACTAAAAGAACTGCCTACCAACTTTTTATTAACATATTTTAGTATGGGCGGCTATACGTGCCTCCCGGCGCCAATTTTTTTACTTGAAATCACTTATAAAAAAACAACAAAAAATACAGTATATAGAAGCCTCCCCAAACACAAAATCATAAAAATGTCTCTGCGAAAATGCATCATTCTCTTTTTTCCGACTTTGGAATAACTGAAATCAGTTACATGAAAACGTGTCCCTGCTTTACTAAATACTTTTCTTGTGTAGGTATGAACTTAATCTAGTAGATACTGTAATTTAGACATCAATACCGTATCGAGAAAAAGGAAAATAAACCAAAATCTGTTAAAAAAGAAAAAATTACTGAAAACATTTTGCCTAGGACATGCGTCACAATTTTTTCAATGCGGTTTAAATGTAACGAAATGGCATACATGAAAAATTAATGTTATTTCATATTTTAGACGTCTTTGACTGCTAATACGAAAATGAAATTCCACGGAAATACGCTGTTGACATTTTTTGAATACGGTTTAGAAGTAACGAAATGAGCTATATAAAAAATTAATATTATTTTATATTGTAGACTTATTTTTAAGCACCGATATAAAAATGAAAATTCGCGGAAACACGTTGTTTCACCACTATGCAGTGATCTTCTTCCCGACCTTTGACACAGATCAATGGATAATATTTATTCTTATCAACTTAATATCGCTATGGTCAATAAATGCGAAAATTTAAAAAAAAATTGTCAATAAATCTTAAAAACGACAATTAAACCAAACCAAACCAAACCAACTAAAACCAAACCCAAAGTATGTAAAAAAGTTGAGAATACTAGGGAAAACTTCGAAATATTGAAGATTTTCTATTACACCGCCTTTATGATAAATTTCCGCAGAAAAATTTATATAGAAAAGCTATAGCAAATTATTAATCAAACAAAAATATCAAACAAGTTTTTATCTTCCTATCACATTTCGGCACTTCTAAACCCGGAAAAATCAATGAAAATTATTGTGATAAAAATATACTATTTTTGAATAAAAATTATATCGTTATATTAAATGGTTTTACGTCATTCTACAGGGTGTCCCAGAAATAAGTGCAAATATTTTAACTGGTAGTATAGTTCAACCCCAGAAACACGCCTATGAGGTTTTTGTCGCAAAAAAAATTAAAAATTATTTGAAAAAAATTTTGGAAATTTATTTAGTTTTTAGTTAAAAAATATAATTTCTTGATAATATGGCAACATAGGTGGTAGATTAAATTTACAAGAAAGAAAATCCAGAAAAGATTCAGTGGTTCTGAAAATTTTAGCAAAAAATCATTTTTTTGGAGTATTTGAAAAACGATAAAGAGAAAATATGTTTCTTTTATCGAGATCTATCACCTCTTAAAATATTTGCACTTATTTCTGGGACACCCTGTATAATGAAAAAAACTATTAAAGACACCGTAAAGTTTTCAATATTAAAATTTCGAGTTTTCTCAAAAACAAAGAATTTCCGCGGAAAAAATCAAATTATGTAGTGCTAGTTTTCTTGTATAGAATCATCCTATAAACCGATATTCTATGTAACTGATTTCGGCTAAACGAAACTTGAGCCAAGTAATTTTTCACGATTTTGAAATATTATTACTGTAAATTTTAATTAAATAATTACGGCAATATATAAGCAACGAAAATCGCCGCAAAAGCCCATATCTCCCATTAAAGTTTATTGCCTGTAAAATTATTAAAAAATAAATTAAGGAAGTCGCCGGATATGCCCAGACTTTCGGAACCATATAGGAACCATGGTGTTGCGGTCACGAGCCACATACAACGTTATCAAAGACGTACGTTCTAAAACAACACGGTAATTACTAATTGTAGGATAAAATACCAGACCTACGTTCTACCGGTTTGTTCATGGTTTACCTGTCCCACCGTTTGTACCATGAAACCCCACTCCATTCAACAGGTAGATCCTAAATTCAAAGTAACGCTAGTTGGTAACCATATTCCAATAGTGTATTACATTTTATGAAACAATATTCGTTCTATATTCGTTTTCTAACTCAACTGTACCAGTTATAACGTTTATCCTAGGGATATGTTTAAATTTTAAATTCAAAGTAAGTGAAGAGTGCATACTGGTTACTTTTTTATTTCAGTTTATTTCTATGGTTGTGCTTTAACAAGCTACCGTCAAAATGTTAAAGTTTCGTGAGTCACTTAACAAAAACCGATTGTCAATTATTGTTCTATATACGTTTTTTCTTAAAGGTTCATAAAATACGTGATGGTTAAGAGTGCCAGTCAATAGATATATTACAGATAGCTTCTTGGTGAGTAAGTTTATATTTAGCTGCCTGAAATTCAATTCATCATCCCACTAATGGTTTAGGTACCTTAAAAATACTTTTAATTGCTTTTAATTAACCTATTAATGAACAGTAATTTCTACTGGTTAGTTTTGCTTTTCAAATAAAATTAAGCAATTTGAGAAACCGCAGTGGCAGATGCAGATTGAAAAAAATGCAGGTTGTGATGAAATTATGGTATTGAATAACACGAAACCATTCACAATTCTCGACGCTGTTACTTTTGAAGTGTATTTGCGTAATTATTATCGGATCTTTAGCGATCTTACTCGTTTTATCTATCGGAGAATTTATCTAATCAGTTTTCGTATTGGCAAGGTAACGGCAAAAAAGATTACTAATAATTATTGAGCAGTTTATGATAAAAACAGAAAATTATTGAAGTGTTATTGAAACCATTTTCTTTTAGTTTTTCGTATATTTGGTGATTAAAAAATGTAAGTATTTTGAAAATTTATAAAAATAATTAAGAAGCTTTGAATATATTGTTAGTAAAAAGTATTACATTTTATGACAACAGAATATTATAATTAATTATTGTTTACGTAATTACTAATTTATTTAAGACATACCTGAAACTATTTAATTATGTAGTGTCGGCCTGATAGGGCTTTCAGTTTAAAATGAAGCTACTTTATAGTTTTTTTATTTTTACACACTCCGTATATTTAATAATATACCAAATGATAAAAAAACGGCGCTCAATTGGCTTGGGAATGACGATCGATGACATTCCCTATATAATTTTGCATATAAAATGAGAGCTATCTTCATTGTAAACCGTGAAAGTCATAGCTGAAGCCGAATTTTTGATTCATATTGTATTTTCATTTAATCAAAACCATGCTACAGGTTTTTTATTTGTCTTAAAATGAACTGACTGATTTTTCGAAATGAAGGTTTTTCAATCTTTTGATTATGACTGCATATGCAATATTTGCAGATTTGCTGCCTGGTATAAATTGATATGTTAATAATAAGATCAGTGTCTCTAAGAATACTATTAAAATTAAAAAAACTTTTAAATTAACTCAAAAACGGTTGGACCAATTATAATCTCTCTATCTATGATTTGTTGGATTCGTCTCCGCTAGAATAACAGAATAACTATTAAAATAATGGAAATATTCAAGGAAAAATTATATTATGGAAAATAATTTTTTAAATAAACTACATTTGGAACTCCGCCATCTTCAGCAATTATTGATAGCTTACTTCACACATTCCTCTAGCTTATTTATTAGATGTCCAGTGTAAATCAGTGACATACCTACTAGACGTTATAGAATTCAACGGAAAATAGTAGGAACATAGCATATTAAATCTAGAAAGATATTTAAATATACAGGGTGTCCTGATATTCCGTGGACATAGAACTACTACGTATTTTTGATATCAAAATAAGGTCATTGGACACAATTTACCTCTATACAAAAGTAATTCGTTTGTCGGTTAGAGGGCAGCAATTTAAAAAAAATTACATTTTTTCAAGTGCTTATGACTTTTACAAAAACATACATATGACTTTTACAGAAATCAAGAAAAAAAACTATATATATTTTCCAACTCAACCCATAACCGATTTTTTTTTCTTAAAATGGTTTCTTCTAGTATTTACTACTTTTTTTGTCTCTTGAAAAAAACGCTACCGGGCATACTTTTTGAGGAAAAAAAACTATTTTTCCGAAGTTGACTTCTAAAAAATGTTTTCACATCAATCAAATCAAGCTACGGAGGGGCATAAAGTTTATTATGTTCTAATAATCTAGTTAGCAAAAATAAGAATTTTATGTTAGTATCACAAATTATATTTAACAATAAACTTTATAAAAAGCTTAAAAAAATTAATACATCCTTAATTAGTTAACTTTCGAGTTTATATGTGATTGAGGCCCTCTAAACGACAAACGAAGAACTTTTGTGGGATGTTGCTTTTTAATACATAAAGAAAGTTAAAGAAGAATAATCTACCATTTCCATTAATAAGTAAATCTAAACAGTGCCCTTAAAAATAAAGTTCTTTTAATTAGAATATAGAATATTATATCGTGCAATTGCCAAGCCATTATAATTATTACAGAAATAAATATGTCTAATATTGATACTAACAGTTTATAACAAAATTGTTGAATAGGTGCTTAAAGAGAAACCAAATAAAATAAACTGACTTGGTTTTACTTGAGCTCCCAAAAGTTTTTATATTGGAAGAATTATGTTGCGATTGGGGGCATTTTTCACATTTATATTTTTGATGGGATAGTAAATTTAATAGTTATTTCACACACTTACCAAAGAATTTAGGTTTCAATTGGACAAGGGAAATTTTAGATTTTTTTTATTGGAAGGCAAATTTATAATTATTTTAATTCGGTGAATTTTGTTATAGAGATATAAACAGCAAACTATTTCAAATATACACGAAAATTACAATATATTTTTGTGTATATTTGGGATAGTGGCCTTAAACACTTATTGGAAAGCTTTTTATTTATGCATTTACACTTTTATTTATGCTGACACGTAGTGTCAGTTGACAAACATTATAAAATAACGTAGGTAATATTATATAATAATGTAATATTATAAAATAAAATAACGTGTAAATTATTTGTGTAATGTTTTGTTTATCACTTAGTAAATTACTAAGATTTTTTTTGTATTTCTGACTTTTAAAATACCCGAATATTCCGAATATTCAGTCAGCAAACACCGGCAATCCTTATAGTTCAGTCATTGGGGATCAAAAAAGAGGCCTGCTTGGAAACAAGTCTGGAAGTTTTGAAACTTTGCAGGTTTATAGGTTTTGGGGTCTCTAAGTAAAATCCATAAAATGCACATTGGGCCGCCATCTTGCCAAGATGGCGCTCAAAATCGGTATTTTGTAAATATCTCGAAAACTATGCGTTTTTCGCAAAAAATTGAAGAGAGCAAAATTAAAGAGAATAAAATTTCCTATGAAAAGGTTATATGAAAATTTTCGCTAAAGTCAACCGTTTAGGCACAAAATCCCTGGAAATTTTACAATTTTGCGTAAAGTATGATATCCATAATATATTCGATTTTCCGAAGTCATATGTCGATTAGTGTTCACTAAAACTAGTTTTAGTTTAGTTTCTTCAATTTTGTCATAAAACAGCGGCGTATCTTTAATTCGCTCATTAATTTATGAATAATTAATTGTCGTGCTGAACAGCATTCATTGCGAACTTTCCATCGGGTTCAGCATTGGTCTAGTTGTACCAAAGATACCGAAGAATGGGGTTGGAAGAAAACAAAAACTGTGTAAATGCAAAACCAACAACTATGGTAAAGCCTGCGGATGCAGAAAAGCAGAATTAAAATGTTCAATGATTTGTGCATATACTGCAATGGGAAATCCTGTGACAACGTCACTGAAGTGTCACTCGACGAATCCGATGAAGAGGAGTTGGACTTGCCTGTAGATATCCCTCTGGCGGCTGAAGATGAAGAGTTGGACGTATTGAGAGACCACCCTGATGAGCCCAGCACAGCAGACACGATAGACTTTGACATCAATGAGATTAATAAGTTAAAGTTTTTAATTTATCTAGTGGAGTAGGCCTCCGTTAAATGAAAGAATTAATATATAAAAACGTTAAAATAAACGTGCCATGTACTTTACCTCTTGGGTGGTGTGGAAACAAGTACACATTTTCAATAATTAAAATTAATTATTTATAAATTAATAAGCGAATTAATGATACGCCACTGTTTTATGACAAAATTGAAGAAACTAAACTAAAACTAGTTTTAGTGAACCGTAATCGACATTTGATTTCGGAAAATCGACTATACATAATATATCATATTTTACGCAAAATTGTAAAATTTCCAGGGATTTTGTGCCTAAACGGTTGACTTCATACCGATTTTGGGCGCCATCTTGGCAACATGGCGGCGCGGGCGGCAAATCTGGAAATGTGCATTTTATGGATTTTAGTTAGGGACCCTAAAACCTATAAACCTGCAAAGTTGCAAAACTTCCGGACTTTTTTCCAAGAAAAAATCCCCAATGACTGAACTATTATGCATCGCACAAGATAACGTAGGTATTGTTATTAACATAATAAACTGTTTCCTTTCTTCCTTATTTGTTGTACCACCGTCGTAGACATTTTTAATATATGTACAATGTATTGTTTTAACTCGAGAAAGTAAACATACAGCAATGTTAGACTTACAAATAATAAAAATCTATTTTTATTCTCAAAGTATAATATTTACGGAATTCTGAGTAAACAGTTTTGTAAATATTACATGCAACTTGCATTTGTTTCGTAAGAAATAGGAATTAAATATTTAATTAATGAACACTTTACTACTTTTGTCTTATACAAAGTGTATAATTTAGAAATAACAAGGGGCTGTCCTTTGCCGGAAGCACTGCGACCTGTGAGGCCTATTCTGTCGGCCTATTCCCCTTTCTATATCTGCACTCATTCTCCTATTCCTGTACCCTGCACCAACTTATGCAGGTTCTTGATAAAATGGGAGCATAGTTCCTCCGGTTCTAGCCCAGCTTTCCCAAATAAAGTCGCTTGCGATCCAGAGCCTCGCAGAAACATATTATGTGCTCCGCTGTTTCAGGATCTTTATCGCAGAGTTTGCAGCAAATACTTTCTTCATACAAGTTGAGCTTGTTCAGGTAATACTTGACAGACATGGGTTCTGCCAAGAGGCTTGTTGTAATCCGCACTTTATTCCTGCTAAGCATTGCTTGGATGTGCCTTGCTGTGACTGTGCCTCTGTCTGTTTCTCCTGTGGACATTCTGTTTTTCCCTGATCCAGAGTTTTAGTGGACTACGCGCCATACATTTCGGGTATTCCCAGTACTGGCTCTGAACCAATACAGGATGCCGATGATTCTTCTCTAGCTTGGCTCATCGACTTTTTCGTTGCCTTGAATGCCGCTGTGGCCCGGCACCCAGAATAATTCAATTCTGTTCCTTCGTACCAGAGCTCCCATCAGTTTACCTCTAGGTGTCTTATATAAGTGCAAATATTTTCAGGGCTGGTAGATCTCCATAAAAGAAATATACATATATTATGTTCTAAATTAAAAAAAAATTCAACATTTTTTTTGAAAAACACAAAATTGTGAAATCTTTTTTGGCAAAAAAGACGTATTCTTGGAATCGAAATATGGCCACTCTTAAAAATATTTTCACTAGTCAAATTATTTCCGGAAATTTTTTCGAGCTCATGAATATTTTGAAAATTATCCCGAGTCGAAGACGAGGGATAATTTTCTAAAAATATTCATGAGCGAGAAAAAATGTCCGGATTTAATTTGACCTCGTGTGGTATTCGGTAAGAAAATTCCACACCAAATTGTGTTTGAAAATCAAATAATTAAAATGTATTTTTCGATTTTTGGTCGAATTGATTATTTAGTTACTATGACAACTAAGTGACA